CATGTTGGGCCCCGGGATGGTGCGGCCCCAAGCGGCGATTCCGGAGGAAACACCCGCGCTCCCCTGTTCCGGGGCTGTCCCCCGGGCGGATCCAGCGCCCTGATTTTTACACAGGAATAGACCGCGCGCAGTTCTTCCCTTCGTGCCTTTCCCAAGGCAGCTGCCCGCGTGTCCCCAGCTGTGGGCTCTTCTTCAGGCTCAGGAGTGCCCGGAGGACAGGGATGGCCCTAGATCATAGACTCATAGAATCACTGTGGCTGGAAAAGACCCTCAGGATGATCAAGTCTAACTGTAAATCTGTCATCACCACCCTGCCAAACCGTGTCCCCGGGTGCCTCATCCCCACGTTCCTGAACACTCCCAGGGACGGTGACTCCGCTGCTTCCCTGGGCAGCCTCTTCCAGTGCTTCACCCCACTTTCCGGGTAGAAATTTTTCCTAATATCCAACCTGAACCTCCCCTGGGGCAATTTGGGGCCATTTCTCTTGTCCTATCGGTAGTTCCTTTGGAGAAAAGATCGGCCCCCTGCCTCCACAACCTCCTTCCAGGTTGTAGAGAGCGATGGGTCTCCCCTGGGCCTCCTCTTGTTGTCCGCAGAAGCTAGAGGAAGGAGTCCAGGTGACCAGGTCAGATACCTGGCAGGAAGCAGGATGAGTCCTGCATCTGCTAGAATAGCTCAGCATTTTCACAAAACTACATACTTTTAAATCTAAAAGCTTATTCATGATGGGTAGTGCGGAGCGCAGGGCTTCCCATGCTGCACAGAGAATCCTACATATCCTAGTGGTTTCTCGCATCTTACATTTAGCTATACTAAATTCCCTGCACTATTTTATAACCTGTTAATTCTCTTAACAGCAGATTTCTGTGCAGTTTCTCACAGGTTTGTCAGTTTAAGCCTTGCTCCAGGGTTTATGGCAGACTGTTTTCTGTTAGCTACGCTGTCCTCGGTTTCTTTACTCTTTGGACCAGATAATCAGCTGTCATACAAGCCACAGCCCTTCTCTGTATGTGCTGGACTGCAAACACTGCCCTGCTTTTAGAGCACTGGCCTGACAAGCCACCTGCACTTCACTCATAACTTTATGGAGGAATTAGAAAGAACACAGGAAAAAAAAAAAGGATAAGTACATAAATATAGGTTAGTTAGTCTGGACCTCAGAAAAGCGAATAGATTCTGATACAGGAATTGATTGATGAAATCTTAAGCTGTGACTATAATGCATTCTTGTCATTATACATTGATGGAAATTAGGCCGTGTCAAGAAATTATTGGGGAACAATTGGGTAAGTTTTTTGTAAAGCATTTAACCTAGTCCCACAAGATACATACTTTAAAAAATAGCAAAATACATACCTTAAAAACTAGCAAAATACAATATTAATAAAATATGTGTTAGCCTAATTGAGGACTGGCGAGCTGACAAATCTCTAAATTTGCTGTCATGAGGTAGCTATTAAAAGAATCAGTATTTTCATGGGATTTGGAGCCTAAGTTTTTGTTTAGAGAAAATTCTGAAAGTCACAAGTGATTAGGAGGAAGGAGCCTGTCATAGGAAAGCAGCTGGAGGAGAAGATGAGGACTTCCGACCCACGTGGACCATAGTCCATTCTACTCAAATTATTAGTTAAATTAAAAAAAAATAGTTACTGGTTAAATTAAAACTAAAATTAATTAGTTAACTAATTATTAGTTATTAATTTTGGAGTTCTGTGTCGTTCTACCCCTGTTTTCATCCTATGTGTGCTCTCTGACATTGGGCTGATACTACCCTTTTCTGCATTGATGCTGCATTTGTAGTGCAGAGAGAAACTTGCTCTATGATGAAGAATAATGAGACAAACTGGATCCATCCAAATAAAATCTAGAAATCCAAAAAAATCTAGAATCAAAAACTCTTCAGCAACCTCAGTCTTATTCTGCACTTCTTCATAGACAAAGCCCAAATAGCTTTACAGCAAAAATCGAAGGTATCGAAGCATGCGCAACCCTGGAGGGAAGACCAGCAATTATTTTAAGAGTGAGGAAGCTAAGTATGGGCCCCTTGCTGTGTGGCACTGGCAAAACATGGATCTTTGAGACCGGAACAGCATTGATTTCTTCTGATGTTGCTCATTTACAGGTAAAGGTGTGTGTCTGAACAGTGTGCTGTAGTGACGTGAAGACAATTTGCTCACCTGAAGTGCAGAGAGATATAAATAAGTGAAATTAATACAGATCTTTAATTACTGTTCCTATGGATCCGTATTGCATCAGACAGTGCATGAAACTTTGTTCCACCCTGCCATGCCACGAGCCAGGTGAGTGGCAAAAGAGCATTGCTTGGGGTTCAAATAGTAACTCAAGCCACAGAAGTCATGTCAGCCTAAGAATAAAAAATGTATCGATGAAAAAAATAGCTGCAGCAGTAATACATGCATTTGGTTCTTTTTCTTTGCTCTCCCTTATCTGGGTCATTAAACCCATTTCAAACATTTTCTGTAAACAGGAGAGTTTGAATGAAAGTACATGCTGGGATTTCCCTCTAGCCAGGGCTATGTGGGAAGTATCATGAAAGCTTTGATGAAGTGGCAAGTGCTGAAATGCAGGAGCAATTTTTTTTTGTACTTTTGTGAAGAAATTGATTTTTGCCAGGGAAAAAAAAAAAAAAGTGCCACAGCCAAATGTCTATTCTTGTTAGACTTCAAGTCCTTCCAGGAGGAGTCCTTCAGCAAATTGGCTCGTTTAGACACAACAGCCAGGAGCATGGAGAGTAAAAAAGGGTTTTGTTAAAGGAAAGCTTCTGTGTTGTAAACAGGATAAAAGGGGATGGAGTCACTTATCACTGTCTAATGTGTCCTCAGGTCATTCCTGTGTAGCAACTAGTGGAAAAAAAGGATTTCATATTCACTGCTATCTTAGAAACTCCAAGCCAACACTGGGGATTTTCTCTATCAAACAATCTACAGACGCAATGTGCGTTCGCAGTGGAGTTCAAACACCCTTCAGTGCAGACTTCATCGCCCTCTATTTGGCTTTTCCTTTAAAGCCTTGCAGCACCAAAATGAAATCCTTGTACAGAATCGTGATCCTTGTACAGTCTCCTTCGTGCCGCCTGTAACACGGTTTTTATTGCCTCACAGATACCAGGGCTAGCCTGGAATAAACCAGGTTTGTTCTCTCCCCAAAGAAAAGACCCCGATCCTGCAGCTCTGTTTTTGTGAGCATGATTCCCAGTAGGCAGAGAAGCTCTTTCCCCCTCCTCCCTCCCTCTCTCTCTGTGTCTCTCTGGCACGCACA